TGTTCTTATTGAACTAGAGAGATATAATGCTGTTTTGGCCTGTGATAATCTCAGTTACTCTTTTGAAAAGCACCTTAGTCTTCTCCATTTAACTTGCTTGTACTTGAGAACTTAAAAATTTTTCATAATGAAGTTTGAAAAAACAATTTCTCTTTTATTACTGTCCTGTTGCCAGAATGAGTTTTTGTAGCTTAGTTTAATGTACTCCAGATTGTATTTTAACCTATATATCATTATCAACAATCGTTGTAAGTTGATCAACTTTTTGCTACAATATAATTCAAAACAGGTAGGTATGTGATAACCATACACATTCATCATTGTGCTATGAAAAAAACCCATTTTGTGAACAATTTTAAATAAAATCATCATTTGCATATCTAGAATTTAATTTCAAACTGAATGGCCTGAAGAACTGCTTCAAACTGCCCCTAAGGTATACTAAACCACACCAGAATGTGACACTACCATAAAACAATTTTAGCAAACTTGGAAGAAATGCATTATGCTTGTGTCAGGTTTTACAACACAGTGGCATATCATGTTTAGTAGCATCTTTTTTGTAATTTGTTTTTTAAGAAAAGTCATTAAGAATTTGCTTTTTCATTCTATTTTTAAATTTGGGAACAAATATTCCTTCACTCTGGGCCTCTGTAACCCAGTGTGCAAAAAGAGGCAAAGGCACATACTGCTTCCCTACAGGGTCATCACTTCCCACCAATAGCAAATCTCCCTTTATTACAGATATTAGAACTCAACTGCCACATGGGCAAGTCAATCAAGAGGGCTTAGACAACAGCTGGACAAATTTTAATGTGTTTATTTCTACAGTTTGTTTTTATTAAAAGTTTTGTGAAAAAAAGAGTCCTATAAATAGTAAAAAGGGGGAAACAGGAGTGTTCCTTGGCCTGAAGCAAATGGTGTCAATACATTTGTAAACAAGGTAAAGCTCAGCCAATTAAAAGGACAAAAATAAAACTAGTCACAACACAGCTGTTCATTTCAAGCGGATGGGAATGGGAAGTGTTTTGTCCCAAGTTTTGGTGCCCTAAAGTGGCCAGCAGTATAGTTAATTCTCAACTTTCTAGCCTTGATCATCTGTGCTTCTCTCTTCCTGCAGAAAACTCACCCTAGATGAAGCAAGCACTGGCTCTCTCCTATTTGAGGGACAGGGTTCTGAGAACACTGACACCAACAACACAGCTGGAATCATCAGCCCTCTGGAACATTAGAACTCCTGAGAGAATTTGAAACAGTCATGAACATTATCCTCTACTTTTGCAGGAAAATACTGGAAGTAAATATGGGCACAGAATTTAACAGCTGGCTAAGGGTGTTTTACATTCAGTTGTTTGGAAGCATACCGATTCAGCTCCTCTGAATCTTATGGTTAGAAAATACAGAATTACCCTATTACTTCTTAAAGTACACTAAGACAAAAAAAGTCACTTGAGGATAATATAGTTTTTGCATTAAAGGTGAATCTGCAACAAGAAATCTGCTCAACTCAGAGATCTGGAGACTCATCGGGAAGCTCTAAGTGTCCATTTGTCACTGAGATACGCAGGTGCTTGAATTTCTTATTAGATGCTGCCAGAGTAACCCAGATGTGGTTACTGGGCAAGGGGAGGAAAGAAAATAAATCTTGCCCTCTACATGCATAGTTATGTTTGGGGGTAATCCCCCAACTCTGGAAAAATGGATTTAATTTTCACAACGACTTCATTAGGCCGGACAGCTCACTTTAAATAATAGCTCATCTCTTTAAACCTAGTTTTTATCAATGTCTTGAACTAAAAACAATTCAAACCACTAGGTCATGCAAAGTCAGTAAGTTAGAACTATAACAATACGGAGTAAAAGGGCATAAGGATGTAAGTGGAAAACAAACCCTATTTACCCAAAGAGGGGGGCGGAGAAAACCACTTAGTGTATTTTGTATAGGACGGGGAACAGAGGAAAGGAAATTTTCATTATGGCTTGAGGATGGAAGCGCTTCATATAAGACCCCTGCCCCCTCCCCACAAATCAAAACCCCAGTGGCAGTGACAGAGCCAGGAAACAACCTAGCTTCCCCGCCTGCTCCGCCCCCCAAACGGTGCCCGGTGGCTGCAGTCCAGTCGCCGCGCTTCGCAAGGCTCCCGAGGAAGCGGCTACAGCCCATTCCAGTAGATCCAACGCCCAGGCCTGGGGGAAGGAAGAGAGCCCTTGCGATGGGTCGCGGTCAGCCAAGCCCAGATACGAGTAGGGCATGTCTTTGGCCCACCAATCCCGGGCGCCGGCGGCTTCAAGGGAAGACCTTGGGACCTGGATAGGGCTCCCCCTCGCACCAGAAGTCATCGGCCTGCGGGGTCTCCAGGAGCCACACCTCTCGGGGCAGGTCACAGGCCGAGCCGGAGGCCTCCCTGGCCCTGACAGGCTCCAGCACCCGGTAATAGTGACAGTCCCGGCCGTCGTCGGGGTCGTAGGGCGGGGCCAGGATGTCTAGGAAGGCGGCGGGCCCCTCCACAGCGTCGATCTGGTGCAGGTTGTCCCGGTGTGGCGTGAGGACGCAGGGGCCGCTGGCCGCCGTGTACTCCGCCCGCGAGCGCAGCACACCCGGCCTTAGCGCTTCCCGCTCCCTCGGCTGCAGAGGCGGCTCGAACTGCTGCTCTGGTGGCGGGGCCCGCGGCCGTTGCCCGCTGCCCACCTCCAGCTTGTCCATGCAGCTGATGCGCACGGTGCCGTAGAGCACCTTGAGGATGCCGTGCATGCCCGGGTGGTCGTGCAGCGGGATGGAGGTGCCGCTCTTCAGCAGGAACACGCCGAGGCTGAAGCCGTCTGTCTCGCAGATGTGCATATAGGTGACTGGCGGCAGGTTGGGCCTCAGCGGCTGCAGCGTGGCCTTGCGCGGGGAGATGTTCAGGTCCTCCGCGCGGACCTGGGTCAGCAGGCTCTTCAGCTTGCTCAGGTTCTCCGGGAAGCCCTGCGACATCGACGCCTCGGGGCCTGGCGCCTCGCCGCGGTCGGAAGAGCTGCGGCTGCCCCCGCTGCCCCGGAAGGTGAGGCACGCCTGGCGGGCGATCCGTTGGATCAGGGAGGCCATGTTGTCTCGGGGCATGCCCTGCTGTTCCTCTGCGTGCCGGCCCCCTCCGCCCCCAGCTTTCCTCCGCCCCTTGCGGTCCCCGGCGGCCGCCACGGCTGCCCGCAGCCCCCGGCGAGGCAGGAGGCCCCGCAACTACCGGCCAGTCGGGCGCGCGGCACTACAGCCGCCCACCTCAGCGGCCACGCGCCCGCCTCGCGCTCCCTTCGAGCGCGCACGCGCACGGCCCACACCCCGCACTCACGCTCCGGGAGCAGATACCGGCCGCGCGGACGGTGGTAGGCTTTGCCTTACGCCCGAAGCTCCATTCATGCGGCCCGCACCTACGGCTGTGGTCAGGCGTTCCCGGCGCCTTGCAGAGCATGCTGGGACTTGTAGTCCGGTATTCCGCATGCGCTCTCAGAGAGTTCCCTTTGTCAGCTGGAAAAGGGAAGGATTAGATATATGTGTCATAAAGCGACCTTTAGTACGGTCCCAAGGTGTCTGCTTGTTTGAAGAAAGGCGAACTGGGGCACCAGAGAAGTAGCCAGTTAACTACAACTCCCGGCATTCCTCAGCAGGTTGGGGTGACGCACTTCCGGCGTCTGGCCTGTGGTGTGGTGGAGGCTCTTGGCAGTCTCAAGGAACCAGGCAAGAGGGTCGTTAACCTTCTGACGCCGCTCGGGCCCGGTCAGCGTTACAAGGTCGCTTTCCTGTGGCCTTAGCCTTGGGAATGAGGCTGTTGAGTTAACTTTAGCTCCTTGTGGCCGTCCAGGCGGCACTGTCTGCCACAGGGGTTACGGGACCGCGCTTTCGTAATTTCCTAAGTTTCTGAGGAGATGAGAGGGTCGAGACTGTCCGGGGTGAGCGCCACAGTTACTGTACCCAGCCTTCCCCAGCTGTTGTTTGCATCAGGGTCTGATGACGCTGCTCTTCTGGTTACAGAGTACGATAGTTTTTTGGTGGAACTTGAGAGGCTCTTTGCTGTGGTCACTGATTCTGTATACTAATGGTTATCAAACCTTAGATTGCCCAAGAAGCACTTGGTTAGGGGAGGAGGGGAGCTTTTTAAAAATATAGATGCCTGGTCTTCATCCAGAGATTGGTTCATTAGATGATTCTGAGGCATCCTGTGAGAAACCTTGTTGTGGGAGAATCAGGCAAACTCTTGACCTTAACCTTACCCTGAGTTTAGAGTCCTTTTGGATTTCCAAAGCTAAACAAGGGTTTCTTACTCAATTTTGTAATTGGAGTGGTGCAGTAAATTCTCTCCAGTTAAAAAAAGGCATGCTTTTTTAGTGGGCTATGTAACCTATCTAAGGAGCACTCAGTATTGGTCAGGCATTGTGTTAAGTACATTACCTGATGAATATTATACTAATCCTCACAGCATCTCTTAAGAGGTAGGCATCATTATTATTCCCAGTTTGCAGATGAGGGAATAAGTTGCAAGAGGATAGCGAATAATTGACGGGGCCTAAGCAGAGCAGAAATAAGTACAGTTTTACCAAAGCCGGCAGCTTGAATTGGTGTTAAAAGCATTAAATGTGGAGTTAGGATATTGTTTTTCCAGCCTACTGTGCTACTTACTGCTACTTAAAGTTGTCTGTCTTTAGCAGACTCTACCCTTTTATATCCTCAGTTTACTTACTTGTAGAATCTGGAGTTAGGGTAACAGTTATTCTGAACTCTCCTTACTCATCAGAAGACCCTGGGGAGCATTATAAAAATAAAGATTTGGGGGTCAAACCCAAGAGATTCTGATTCAGAAGAACTGATGTGAAGCCCAGAATTTTTATTTTTAAGATGCTCCTTAAGTGATTCTTAATTATCAGCACAGTTTGAAAACCACTGCTAGATCTGTAAATAATGAACCAGTTCTTAATATTTGGTGATTTCGATTGAGAGGGTGATTGTTTTAGGAAAGGACTCTTAAGTTTTACTCATTTTCAGAGGTTGCCATGCCATTGTTAAAGTACTTAAATGTACTGTCAAAGTTCACGTAATGAAATTCCATGCAATCTTTTTCTAAAGTGAGGAATATTTAAGAGAAAAAAATACCCTCCATTCATGTAAAAATCTGGATTTTTATTTATTGATTTTATTTCTATTAAGGTATAATTAGTGGGAGGTGTAGACTCCATAGATCACAGACTATTAACACATCTGTTACTTCTTAATAGTTGTCTGTAGTTATTTAACTGAAGCTCATCTATAAAATGAGATATTAAGATACATGTTTAAAACACTGATGATACCATAGTAGCTGTCTCATAATAGTAGCTATTACTATACTTTCAAAATTGTTAAAAGCTGTAAGGACCAATGAATTTAAATAATATTGAGCAAATATTGAAATGGGATTTGCTTGTCTTGAGAATTAGGTTCAAGGTAGAGATTTTTTCAAAAAAGATTATTTTTACTGGTTAACTATTCACCTGGTAATACCATCCCTCAGGGCCTTGCTGTTCATTGTTTGGCCTGAGAGTGCAAAGTTTCCTAAGACTGCCTTTATCAGAATCACCTGGGAGTATTTGTTGAAAGTGCAGCTTCTCAGATCATCTCAAAATCTTCATCTGTATCTTTTGCACATTAAAGTTTTTAAGAACTGCTGAGTGTCCATAAGGCATATGGTACTTTTCTTAGGCCACAGACAGGCTACCTCCGTAATTCCTTTTTTTTTTTTTTTGCGGTACGCGGGCCTCTCGCTGTTGTGGCCTCTCCTGTGGTGGAGCATAGGCTCTGGACGCGCAGGCTCAGCGGCCATGGCTCACGGGCCCAGCAGCTCTGCAGACTCTCAACCACTGCGCCACCAGGGAAGCCCCATAATTCCTTTTTGAAACTGTCCTTAAGAGCTGCTGTAATGGATGAAATCCATCCTAATGGCTTTTGCCCTGAAGAAGCATTTTACAATATTTGGCCTTCTGCCCCACTGCCAGTAGCATAGGCTGACTGGGTTTCTATTACCAATAACGTCCTTCTTTTTATGCTCCTTGTTCTGTTTTCCTTTGTGTTGCAGTAAGCAGAATGAAGACCAAAAGACATTCAGAAAGGAGAACAGACAAAAGAGAAGTGATAGTGAACAAGTGCTAGAAATACAAGACAGAAACAAGATTTGGGAAAAGTTTGGGACAGATGGAATCTATCATTCGATAGTGAGTATTTATTAGGTACCAGGCATTGTTCTAGGCTTTGAGGATTTGGCAAAGAATATTGGAATTCAAGGAATTTACGTGTGTGTGTGTCTCTCTCTGTGTGTGTGTACTTTGGGGTTGGAGGTTGTTACACAATACAAATAAATGAGCAACATAATTTCAGAGATGAGTTTATAAAGACAAACAGGATGGCGGTGTGGTGTGTGTGTGTGTGTGTGTGTGTGTTATTGAGTTGTCAGGTGTGACCAGAAGATAATATTTGGTTCTGAATATTAAGGAGTCAGCTGTGGAAAAATCTGGGGTCAGCATTCCAAGACTAGGAAAATAGCCCTAAGGATGTCAAACAGAGTATTGGAGACCATGACTTTGACCAGATGTAAAGGAACTTGGTATAATTGGGAACAAGAATGAAGGCTGGTGGGGATAGGCTATGTAGTGACCTTCAGAGTTCCTGGAGGGAGATGAAGTTGGGGAGGTAGGCAAGGGACATATTCCACAGGCCTTATAGACCCTGATTGGGGTGTTACAGGGAGTTGAGGGCCGTGGTAGGGAGTTGGATTATAAGTGTTGTAAGAAGCTTTCAGAGAGTACTGGGCAGGAGAATGACTTGATCTGTTTTACAGTTTTCAGAGATTGGTGGGCAGGCGATGTAACAGTGTAGAAGCCCAGTTGAAGGCAGAAATCTAGAGAAAAGAAAACTAGTGTAAAGATTAGCAATCTACTTTGTAGGTGGAGCTGCAGGGCTTGCTGATGAGCTGTTGCTTTGGCAATCTATTTCTTAAAGTATATTCTTTTTGCATATTCTTTTTCATGAGTTGACAGTTATGTGGTGATAGGTAAGACTGATAAAGCTTAAATCTCACCTCCTGCCCACATCTAACTATTAAATTTAGGAATGAGGGAAGCACACAGAAGCATGAGTAAAGCTGAGATTTTTTTTTAACAGTTGCTTAATTAATCAGGAAGCAAGAAGAATTGGAAGAGCCCCCAGCACGCATGCATACACACACACACACACACACACACACACACATACACATATACACGTATCTTTTCTTAATTCTACCTGCTCATTTATATGATCTATTCATTCTTTGGGAACTTGGCTTATATTTTATCTTTCATTCTTCTTCCCCTGGCCCTCTTCTTTATGAGGACTTTTCCTTAATTCATGGGATAGATCATCTTCTGACTTTTTCTCAAATCATTTTTCTTTCTTTTTTAAAAAAATTTAATTTTTTTGGCTGCGTTGGGTCTTCGTTGCTGCACGCGGTGAGCGGGAGCTACTGTTCGTTGTGGTGCGCAGGCTTCTCACTGCGGTGGCTTCTCTTGTTGCGGAGCACGGGCTCTAGATGCATGGGCTTCAGTAGTTGTGGCTCGCAGGCTCTAGAGCACAGGCTTAGTAGTTGTGGCACACGGGCTTAGTTGCTCTGCAGCATGTGGGATCTTTCCGGACCAGGGCTCAAACCCGTGTCCCCTGCACTGGCAGGCGGATTCTTAACCGCTGCACCACCAGGGAAGCCCTCAAATCATTTTTCAGAATTTGTTTTATCCAGCTCTTTTGATCATGCTTGGAACCCAGTCAAAAGAGTACAAAAGTACTGACATTCTCAAATGCTCAGTGTTGCTAGCCTACAGTAGGCTGGTAGTTTTTTTAAAGTGGGCAGGAAGGTTTCTTTTTTCCCAGTACCTCTTGCCAACTTACTCCTATATCTGCCTTTTAATTTGCTATAGAACATGATAAAAATTGATAAAAATTTTTTCTACTTTTGGACTCAGTTGTACTTATTTATATTTGAAATATTTTGGGTTTCTATTGTAGCTTTCCTTTCAGTTTTTAAGAAATTTAGCATATGTTTTCATCCATTATCATGAATGAATGTCAAGTTGTAAGAAAAAATAAATAGTTGTGAAGGTAGAAGAACTAGTTCTAGGCATGGCAAACATCCGTATTTTCTTTTGTCTCATTTATCTAAAATTATTACAGCGTAACTCTTCTTAGCTCTGTCCATCTCCACTAAGGTCTTATAAAGTAACTCTGCTCCACTCTACTCTGATTTAACTTTGCATGGTTATCTGAAATCAGATCACTTTGGTATATGGGCTGTTCCGTTAAGTGTGCCAGGCCCAGTAGTTTGTAGTGTTCAGGTCAGACTTTAGGTGTTCACGTTGCACAAAAAAATTGCAGAGGTTGTTTTTTGTGATATAGCTTTATTTTCTGTGTGGTTCTACATACTGATGAATGTAGGGTTGGGATGGAGAAGGACTTAAACTAACTCCTTTTTCTCTTCCTTGCCAGTGTCTTTTTTCAGGCAGTGGGAGGCAAGGGAGAAAGAAATTAAAAATTGGGAGCATGCAGAGAGAGGTTGAGGGGGAAGCAAAAAAAGGTGTGGCTTTTGCAAGTCAATATTGTAGAAAAGTTTTTGTGATGCTCAGTGTGAAGCATAGCCAAAGGCCCGGAGTCACCATTTTTGGATGTGATTTAACACTCCCCTTACCAATTTGATATTAGAGAGGTTTTCCTCTTCTCCTTTAAGTAGTGCAATTATTATAAGACTCAAAATAGTTCTGAACTGTAAATTAAATCTAAACACTCTTTACCTCTCTTAATTAACTTTTCCCCCCAATTTCATGCTTCTTGTTTTTCTTTCCCTTTTTTTTTCCCTTTAAGAAGACATGAGGTATCTCCACCTCCTCCGCTTCCCCATCTGTCCTTTTCCTCTTGGCTGAAAGAGAGATGTTTTTTACTTTATATTTATTTTAATTAATGGATTTGAATCGCAAGTAGTGAAACAGTTGATGTTCATCTTCAAGAGGAGTGAAAGGGAAAATCATCCTCTTTAACTTAGCAGAAAAGAACTGGATGTTCATTGCTGGTGCCTACCTGAAAAATGGCTGTGAAAGGGGCAGAGGAGGGTTCCAGAATTCTCTGTCCTTGCAAGGAATAGGCACCATAGCCCAGAATCAAGGGAAGTGGGAAAACTCTTGAGAATGAAATCATACTTTCTTGGGAAATACCTTTCTCAAGGGATGCTTAGTAAATATTGCTTGATGATTTATGGTCCATTGATTTAGGATCAAATTCCCTAGGAACAAAATATCAGGGTACAATTCAATTGCTTGAACACTCTGATTAATAAAATCCACCATAAGTTTATCATCTTCTCCTTTTCAGTTGGGCAAGGCGAACAATAACTTTAAAAAAAATCTGCTCCCTTGAGTGTTCACCTTAGAATACATCCTGAGACATTTGACTGACTTGAAATAAATAGGGACAGTATTACATGTGTTTCTTTGGAGGAGTAAAATGCTACTAATCAAAGCCTTTTGAAAATAAGCAAACAAACCAAAAACCTTGTCCAGCTAGATGCTCTGTTACAGCATTTAGAGGAAGCCTGAGAAATGACGGTACAATTTGAATGTGGAAAGCAGGAATCAAGGAAGAAAGAACAATAGACTGACAGGATACCAGTTCTACTCCTGGTTCTAGCAACCCAGTGTGTGACTTTGGGTAAGTCATTTCACTTCTTGGAACCTTGGTTCCCTTATATATAAAATGAATAATTTAGTCTAGATGATTTACTACTTTTCTTCCAGCTTAAAAAAAAAACCTTATGAATCTAAAATATTATATAAAATTAAGTAGTATAATTTTATCCTGTGAAATACTGCAGAGCATCACAAAAGACACTTTTTAAAATGTATTTTTAAAAACAGCATGCGACGAGAACACTCAGTAACATGCATACAGTGATACCTGATTTCTCCTTTGTGTCTGTGTTGTCTACCTAAAGTAGATTATCTTGACATTTCCTGAATATAAATTATTGAATAAAATGAGCAAGAGCTCTTGTTTAAAATAAGGTTTACCGT